CTTAGTACCACTTAAACAAGAAAGCTTTACTCTAGATACACTTATACAAGAATATTTAATATACAAATGATTACCCAAAATGTAGACAAACATCAGAACCTGAAATGGAGAGGAAACACCGGAAATTGAGAGTAAACATTGACGATTATGTGATAAATGACTGAAAAGAACACTTTAAAATTGCTAACAAAAACCTGTATTGTTAGAGAACGTTTGTAAATTAATAGTGTTTGCCTCCTGGTTCTGCAATAGAGAGAGAGAGAGAGAGAGATGGTTGGAGACCTATGACCACAAAAAGAGAAATTCTCAAATTCACAAAATTTTGTCAGTTAAAGAGCACTAACCTTGAAATCGTGTTGGATCCTGGTCCACTGTGACACTTGTGAAAATGGTTGTCTGAGGTTTCTAGAGAGTCGAGTGCGACCAGCTGTGAGTAGTAGATGGTTAGGTCTCCAGGTATGTGTGTAAAATGCGTAACACTTACGACCTCACAGATAAGAAATTTTTTGCAGTCAATTGGTCATATAAGGGGATGGGGCAGAGATATGAAGAAAAAGATTCGTTCTAGACTTGACCGGTGCAATCGATCAAAATCAAATAATTAGAGAATAGAACAGTAGCATATGCTAGATGTCGAGAGATGGGGGTTGTGAACGGTGGTAAGATGAAGTGCGATGATGATGAAGGTGGCCTGTTTGATGGTAGTGAAGGTTATGTGACAACAAAGTTTACTGATGGTGTTGTGATGTTCGATATTCGGGTTTCTAAAGGAGATATGCAAGAGAAGAGAAAGGCAGAGGTGTTTAGCAGCGACTGTAATGGTCTCAGTGGTCAAGGTGTGGTGGGTAACTGCGTCGAATATGGGAGGAATTTTAGAGTATTTAATAGAGAGGGAGAGAGTTCAAGGAGAGAAGAGATGGCGACTCATCTAGGGTTATTCTACAAGGAAGGGCTATAGATACTAAGATAAGAGATGATATATAAAGTTTATCTATAGACCGATTCAATTGGCAAAATCTGAGGAAGACGGGTTCTTCTTTGACCAGTTCAATTTGAAGAAGAAAGCCAAAGCCTATTCAATATGTACGTAATTCATGTTAACCGCGTAAGATTTGGTATTTTTCTATGCATAAACTCATTGTAAATAGCGTAATAAGGGTTATACCTCTTAAAATTTAATATTATTTTATTAATGATTACTTGTACTAACAGCTTAATGGTTTGGACGTCTTAAAAAATATTATTATTATATTGAATCTATTTATGGAAATAGTTGGATTTCTATTATAAAGTAGTATAGATATATATATATATAAAAGAGAGAGATACGTTCTAACATTATATACTTTTAGAATATTTCAATGTAAAATATGTTAAAAATATTGTTTTAGAATATTAGAATATTATATATATTATATTTTTTTTATTAACAGAAAATTAGAATATTTCACCAGAAAAAAAAGAATGTTACGATCTCATCAAATTAAACCTTATTACAGTATGAGTTATAACATCCTCTTTAAATGCATGAAATAAATTCACATGAAAGAGGTGTAATCGTTCATAAAGGTAAAGAAGGTATCGGTAGCTAGCATGGTAAGTAAATCAAAAGGTTGAAATTCATTGGCCAAACGAGGGAAATGACAAAGCTTTACTTTTGCTTAGTACAAGAACTGCATACAAATTGAATATTCTCAAAAGAACGCAATTTTTTATTTCCTAACAAACCATATTACATTAATACGCTTGTCTCAAGTTTGAGATTCAAGTATTCAATGTCAGCATAGTTACAAGCAACAAAAGGCAACGAGAGATATGAAGAAAAAAGGAATTTAAGAGGAAAATATATTCATAAGTTATCCGACACCATTGACACCATCAGATTTTTCCACTATTTGAGTTTAAATTTTGATGTGTTTTATGTGTTTAAGTATTGATTTTGATTTTCAGTTTTTGTTGTTTAATTTTAGGATTGATTTTCGTAATTGTTTTAAGTTTACGATTTTTTGAGGATGAAGATGAAAGAGTTGGAGAAAACAAAGATAACGACATATGGTCAATAGTCAATACTCAATACTATAACTTTTTATATTTGTTGGGATATTTATCCAAACAGTCCCTGCAAAAGAAATACTCAACACAAAGGGTCCCTCCAAACTTATAACATGGTCCCTGTTTTAATAAAAAATTACAGTAATAGTCCCTCCATAGAAAATTAACTACAAAAACGGTCCATGTAATTTAGAGAATAGGTCCCTGTGCAGACTTATATTTACATGAATGGTCCATATGCTTCAAAATTTACATAAATGGTCCATTTCTAATAAATGGTACCTACTTTCGCAAAGTTATTGAAATTATTGAAATATTCTCTGCTTTTCACAAAATTACATTAATAATCCTACCAAAAGCAAAACATAGTTACCTAATTCGCTGATCGATCCGGTACGGGAACGAGGTACGAGTACGGGATTCACTAGATTGGACGTATCCGATTCGGAGGGGGTAGGCTCATTTCGGTACGAACCGGTACAGTGTACCATGAAGTCCGGTACAGTGTACCCAAATGTAAACCCTTTTTAGAAACATATTATTGTAAATGTATGATAAACAAGGAACATATTATATCAAGATTACCAAAATACCAAAAACATAGTCTTAATTCATTAAGTACCAAAAGATGTAACAGATTACATGCAAAATTACCAAACATAAAACATCACAAGATTACCAAACATAAAACATCTATCTAACCGCTGCCTTTTTCCTTTTCCGTTCTCCACGCTTTCTTCATCAAGATTCTCCCAAGTCATTTCCTCCAATCGGGCACTTGAACCTTCTATATAATCGCTTTCCGGATTTATGTCCCATTTTTTCAGGGGTCCGGATTTATAAGATTCTGAGAAACGGGATAGAAGCCGAATGTTTGAGTGAATAAAAACTAGTTTGTCCGTTCTATTGCAATTTAAACGATTTTGCTTCACGTTATGAATATAGGAGTATGTACTCCAATTTCTCTCCGCCGAGGAGCTACGAATCGGTTGAGAGAGTACTGTTTTCGCCACATCCGCCAATTTTGGAGTCTTCGATCCATAAGTTGCCCACCAATCAATTATGTCCATGGTTACGACATCAATTTGAGTTGAGGTCATAGAGTAAATTCCTTTCTTCATATGAAATTTCACGAATTGTTCTCGTAAAATTTTTGCTTCTTCTTCATTCTCCGCGATTCTATCAAATGCCTCCATAACACCAAGTACAATTTCTTTATCTTGGTTGGGAGCTTTTCGTGCCATGCCACCGGGTGCCAATTTTTCTAGGTAGTGCTTATCATAGAATTTTGGATTTAAGGCAAATCCCAAACAATGAAGGGGGATTGTCATCTTCTCCCACCTATCCAAAACAATTTTTTCAACTTGAGGGTAATAACTTGCATATTTATTTTCCCTCATGACATCCTTGATTTCACCTAGCATGTTGTCCATCCTTTCATAAATCTCTCCCATTTTGGGACCTTCACCATCACAAAATTTTAGTAACAAAAATATTGGTTTTGTGATAGCCAATATATTTTCAACATCGTCCCAAAACTCATCATCTTTGATTGTATCGGCGATTTTTGACCCAAGTATTCGAGTGGCTTCGTCCCCATTCTTGACCCATTCCCGCCAAGAATTAAGAACAATGGTTGTAGAAAGAGCCTCCATACACTCCATTAATCTATGCAAAACTATGTAGTGTGAGGCAAAACGAGTCTTTGCAACCTTCAATAACTCTAGAGTTGAGTTTTCCCTAAAAAATGATAAAGCATGTGTGTGGTTAATAAAATACTTGACAATACCTTTGCCTCTCTTATAGGTCTCCTCTAGCCAATAAAATTCCTTCGCCAAATCCTTAAAAATGAGATTTAAGGTGTGCACGCAATATGGGGACCAAAAAATATGTTTGTGTATCCTTTCGATCTCCCGCCCAGCAGTCTTGCAATTAGCCGTGTTATCGGTTACAACTTGTAATACAGTACTTGGTCCAATATTATCGATGGCTCCAAGTAGAAACTTTGAAATTTCTACCCCCGATTTTTCAACCCCCGAAAAGTCTTCCGTGTACATGAATGTTGCACCACGGGAATTAACCGCAAGGACATTGATGAGTGGATTATGTTTCACATTAGACCACCCATCCGAGACTATTGAGACTCCTTGTGTGATCCACGTGTCCTTAATCGGTGTAAGCTCCTTCTCAACGTCCGTAACACATTCATCAAGTAATACGGTTCTCGCTTTTTCACACGATGGGGGTTTGTATCCATCCGGTGCATTCTTGATGGCGCTAATCATTTCAAGGAATTGCAGGTTACGTAAAACATTGAAAGGGATTCCGTTGGCACATAATCCTCGAACTATCTTCAAGTCCACCACGTTCCTCTCTAATATTCCAAATGATTCTTCAATGCGTTTCCTTGAAGATGCATTTTTAGAGAGAACGGAATTCTTCAAACACTTTGCAACTCCACTGTTTTATGCTTCTGTAACCTTCTTCCTAAGACTTTCTCTTTTCTGTTAATCTTTAACCATGACAGGACATCTTCTAATATCGACGGTTTTCCCTACAGCAGGTCCAAAAAAATGGACATGGATTCGGGTGTACGAGCTGGTAAACTTGCCTTTACAGTGGTTATAAACCCACTGTTTAGAACCTCCAGTATATTTACTGTTTCCTGCACCACAGAATGTAACTTCTTCTAAAAGTGGTCTGCTTGTATCTTTTCCTTCAGGGATTGTTGATCTTTGTTGTGTTTGCTGTACTTCATCATCAACATCAATAATGTAATCTGCTTGTGTTTCACTGATGTGGGTGTTGCCTTGTATTTCACTGTCTGCTAGAGTATTGGCATTTCTTCCAAACGCCATTTTTTCTCAATCGGTGAAACAGTAAAGAAATTGCAGATGAAGAGAAATTGGAACAGATTTTGGATGAGATAATAGAAATCGAGTATCATACTATATTTTGTATCCATAAATTTGATAGCTTGGTACAGACGATTTGGTTGGAGATCGAGGAGACTTACGACTTTTTCCAAGCGTTTCGTTAATTCCCGCCAAATTGAAGGTTGGCACTGACTTGGCGTCCCAATCGACATCCCAATTGAAGCGATTCACAAAATTCATTGTACCATAAGCGAATTGAAGATCGATCGGCCCTTTGCCAAGCATCGATTGGTACACTACAATTCCCGATTCTGCTCCCGTTCCCAGACCGAATAGATACGCTTCAATCCCGATTCCGCTCCCGTTCCAGATCGATTTGGTACGCCTTCGTACCCCGATTCGGTACACAGCGAACCGGTACGAGGTACCCGGCCTCAGGGGCGAATTAGGTAACTATGAAGCAAAATTACATAAATTTTCCTACCTTTCATAAAACTAAAAACATTGTCACTGTCTCATAACAAATTTACAAAAATGTTCCGTTAAATTAAACCCCAACAGATCGAAAGTGTAGTGAAACTAAATTTTAAGGACACTGAAGTTAAAAATCAAACTACAGGATCATTTATCTTTCAAAAGAATGTTTATACTTTTATAGTCGTTTTATAGTTTTATTACACGCATACATAACCTAACTACAACTTTACTACAAATACAATAAAATAAACATAATATTACAACTCAAATCTAAAGAAAATGTCTTCAAACACTCTTTACCCAATTATATTTCACCATTTAAGAGCCCTCAAGGATCTTATTAACTGAAGGAGAATGGATAATAAACATTTCTAGAGTTAGTTCATCATTGTATCTATCCATGAAGACATTCAATTCTAGCACACACCTAAATTAATACCCCAGATTCACTTGCTTTTCCATCTTCAATGGGATGAGTCTTTCTAAATTTCAAAACTAGTCCTTGTTGTTTGGCAACTTGTTCAATCTCATCAAGTTTGTACTTAAGCATCTCAATTTGCTTTGCAAGATCTTCATCACGTTGCCTCAGGGTCTATAAGATATCAGAAGTAAGGATGATTATTAAATCTTTGAGAAAGAAAAGTTGCATGATTTATAAGAGAAAGTGAACATAAATTTTAACCTCTAATTCTTGTCTGCGAAGTGCCTCCTTCCTAGCTTCTGATTTTGAGCTTCTTTGGACCTCTAAGATAACAGCAGTTCCTGCAACCTGCATAAATTGGATCATGAATGTGAACTTGTAATTATTTGCTAATTTGTGAAACATCTTAATCAATCAAATGAATTGGATGGGTGTGTATGTATGTAAGGATATGAAAATTACAGTGAACACAAAGAGTTCTCCAAGAAGATCTGCAGCAGCTTGGACAGCTTTTTCCTCATTTAAAGGGCGAATTGCAGCATCTATTGCATGACCATATATATGTCTTTGCAACTTTGTTCTGAAACGATGATTAGCCTGTATAGTATACAGGATTGAACTGAGTTATAAAAGAAATGCTTTTGATCAAGAAATCCTTACTTTTGTTCTTCTTATTTTCAGAATCGCAAAAGGAAAACTTTCGTTCACAACTGAATTCGAGGACTTTACAAATTAGATCAGCAAATTTAAAGAAAACTCTTTAATGGTGTCACAACATGATTCCACTACTTCATTCCCTATGCTTTAGCATACATGTTTCAAATGTGATTATAACTAAATTTAGTTAAAATTGGTGTTCTTGAAAAACAGAAAACTAGATCCCGCTTTCCAAAAACAAAATTTGGTCAAAAGAATACCATGATAACTTGCGCGATAACAGTTTCTAATCTTTTACTTCACGGATCTATTAGGTTAAAATGACAAAATGCACTAAAGTTTCCAACTCAGAGTAGCAGATATTTTGAAATAACATTCAATGACTTTGGAAAGTGAAATTGAATCGTGGAACAGGCAACCACACCTGGGCAAAGTTGATGATGGCGTGGCGGAACTGAGGATGACGGCCAGCCTCTTTCTTGATACGTTTGGCGATTGGTTTGCAAATCGTTTTCAAAGCAAGTGTTCCTAGCTTCGCGAAAGGTAATATCATAACTCGGAAGTGCGCTGTATGTGATGCACGCTATCTGTTCGATGTTTCGCCTCTGAGGTTTTGCAGAAGAATCGGCGTGAAACCAAAGAAAATTCAGTCTTATTACGAATTGATTTGCTTTAAGCTTTTCATGAGTCCGAAGAATCTAGCTTCGCATCACGCAAGGTTATCCTGATGAATAATTCCACCAGTACCCTCCATTCTTTTCCGACAATGAAACTTATACACCGTGTTCTCCTCTTCACCAACGATAAGGGGAAAACTGATTAATGTAAATAACTTATATTATGTTTTTACCCCTTCCCATGAACTAATAAATAATTACATTTTTATCAAGTGACAATCTTTATAATCTCCATAGCTCTTTATTTTTTCAACTCAAATGTCTAAGTTAATTTCCGAAAATACCCTTTTACTTTAAACTTTCGGTGCATAAAATCCGGTAAAAATTTATTGCTCCATCTTCGGTCTTCATAGAACCAACAATTAAATTGCAATAAATTAGAAAACAACATCATCTCCAAATTTAAATTGTTCTATGTAACTCAACACATCTTATATAGCCGATTCCTCCTAGGTTCAAGTTTTGTCTTTGAGTTAGTGTTTTCCAAAGATGAATTTGATCTCCTCTCAAAATGTCCATATGCTTCTCCTTTGCTTCTGGGTACTTTTTATTTTTGAGTTTTTGGTTTCATGTTAAATTTTGGTATCTTGATTTCACTTCCCCGTCCCTATCTTTCTTCGTTATTTCTTCTTTTCAACCCTAATGTTCTTTTTCCTACTTACGATTGCAAGGAATCTAAGAGGGTGTTTGGGAGTGTTTTTCATAGCTAAAAGTGTTTTTTTAGAAAAGTGTTTATTGGCTTATGACTTTTTTTCTAAAAAAAGTTTTAAAAATGTGTTTGGATTAGCTTTTAAGATGGTAAAAACTAAAAAGTCAATAAGCACTAAAAAACCACGACTCTCTTACTTTTTAAAAACTACTTATTCTTCTTTACCAAAACCCCCTTTTTAAAAGCACTTTTCACTTCCCCAAACACATTTTAAGTATAAGCAAATAAGCTAATAGCTAATAAGCGTTTTTTATAAAATCCCAAACACACCCTAGGTGTCGCTGCTACTCTGCCACCAAGAATGCTCGAATCGGACGAAGAAGGGGTTATATGGAACGAAAATCATGGATTCCTTACTTTTGTTTCTCTTAACGAAGAGAATGACATCTACATCTTATGGGCTTAAATCTACATCTCCATTTCTTTAGGATTTCATTCAATTTGATATCATGGTAGCCTAAATCTTGGCAAATCACTACCTTCCATCTTATTAAAACCCTTAACTTCTTCTATAATCTTACCCTGTATTCAAAAAATAATATATTTTGTTACTGCCAAGATCAAAAAAATCAAGAGACTAGGGGCATTATAGTTTGAGCGGAATGGAGGATGTGGTGCTCGACAAGTTCATCAAGAAGCTTTTAGATTCTAAGGTTGGATCCGTTCCAAAGCAGATTCCATTTCGGAATCAGAAATTTTGAAGCTTTGTTTTGCTTCCAAAGAGGTTTTCCTTTTCCAACCAAGTTTGCTCAAACTTAAAGCCCCAATTAAGATCTGTCGTAACCAAATTTATTACTACTCGTATTGATTTATTTCTGTATGGGTGTCTGATGTTTCTATGCCTACCAAATGGTTTGTTCTTGGTGTAAATCCGCAATATGAACAATTGGAGGCATAAATTACAGGATTGAGTTTTTCTTATTTTAAGTTTTGAATTCTTGAGAAACTTTCAAACTTTATGTTGTTTTGAAGTGATTTAAAGCATTTGGTAGGTTTAATTCATGGTTAGGTCAACATCATATTGTTGATCGCCTCCCTTGGACGGAAATTCATCGAATTAATCTGTGTTTGTGGCTTTACATAAATGTGGATGGTGGGCCCTAAATCTGGTTGTAAATTTTGCAGCCAAACATGGTTTCGATTTTTTGTTTTTTTTTTATTTGTAATGAAACAATGCTCAATTTTAGGTTATTTTCTTAATTTTATATTTTAAATTGTCTTTAGGTTTGTTCTTATTTTTCTATTTTTATACTTTTTATATAAGTGGGTTTCTATAAGAGTAATTTCTCATGGTTGTCACTTTTCTTTGGCTTGTAGTTTTGACCAAACCTCACGGAATTCACCAGCCTATTACATAATTTTTAGGTAAAACTCTGTTATAGACCATATCGTTCACCCCTTCTTTTAGATATACAATAGAATGAACCATTAAGCAGAGCTTTTAGATAAAATGGTTATCTTTTTATAATGTCTTGATTTTCTTTTATATATATATATATATATATATATATATATATATATATATATATATATATATATATATATATATATATATATATATATATGACATGTTTAATTGCTTTCTAATGTAGATTTTGGTGGTGATTGGTATTATTGTAGGTTTCAAGTGCCAGATATGCTAAATAAAAAAATGGATGTAGAAATGCATGTGGTTATACAAAATGCAAGGGTGTATGTGCCAATAAAGGTGAGCTTCTTCTTAAATTTTTGATTTTTTCTTCTTAAGCTCCCACCTTCCTCTTGTACGTGTCCTGAATATGAGTATGCGAGATTTGTATTGCACTTTTACATAACTCTCATATATACTTTTTGGACTAGAGAACGAAACTCACAGAGAAAGATGAGGTTAATTTCTTTCAAATCTGTTTTTAGGCTATGATGTAATTTAAAAAAATGAAAAATGCTTTGAGGATATGAGGTAATAGAATGATAGTTGTTGTAAACTGATACTTGCTGTTAAACATACTCTCACCATGCGACCAACTTTTATCCGTCTAAGTGAGATATCTTGATTTTTTTCATCAGATTCTCGCGTATTAAATCTTTATTTGAAAATTCAAATTAAAGATTTTTTTTCTCAATAATGAGCTAAAACATATGTTTTATGTTGCTTTAGGAAGATGGCGGGCTGAATCTGGATTACAAATGATTTGTTGAAAAATCTATTTTATGTTTCATACATGGTAACAATTTAGTTCTTGATTTGCTTATATTTAATTTCAAGGGTGTGATTATTTGTTTGTTTGAACCCATGGTTTTTTGCTATGCTTTAGTGCAATTTGGAATCTGGTGAATCCGCAAAATGAGTCTAGGCAAAATTTCTGCATTTGAAGATTGCAATATGTAAGGGTATGGTTTCCATTGCGATTAACACACCAAAGGGTAGTCAACATTATGTGTTTTTTTTGACAATTAATATCATATAGTTTAACATACACTAAATTAAAGTGGATATAATATTTTCTACTTTATAAAATATATTTTATTTGCAAAACAAACAAAGAGGCAACAATATTGTATATATTTTTGAAGTGGAACATGGCTTAAGTTATATCTTGACTTATTTTTAGATCTTGGGGTTGAAACCTGAGCAGTAGTTACTACATTCTTTTTCTTGCTCCTGTGAAGTTTATGGTGCATCGAAGTTGTCACTTAGAGTAAAGTGTTTTGACACCAAGTTGTACTAAAGTACTTTTGTAACATCCGGGATTTACCAGGTATTAATATTGTTTGTCTTATTTGAATAATGGGTTGTTTTGGTTTGGGCCAAGATAGTTGGGCTTCAAGAATTAGGATGAGAAAGGCATTACGTGGGGTGTACAATGTCAGGTACGCTCAGTGTACTCAAGAGAATTGGGCGGGGAGGCCATGCACGTATGCCCAGTGTACCAAAGGGTACACACAACGTACACACGCAGGTCCTAAACCCAAAATTTAAGGGTTTGATCCCTATTTAAAGGACCTTATGTCCTTGGACCAGCCTCCCTATCACCCTTAAGCAGTCACCTTGAAAACCTAACCCACTTTTGTGTATTTTTGCCATTTGAGAGCTTCTTTGTGTGATTTTGGTGTTTTAGAAGAAAAGGAGGTTGAGGAAGGAGCAAGGATTCAAAAGGAGCTTGTAGATCCAGAAGATAAGCACAATTTCTGACTCATTTGAGGTATCAAGCTTCAAACTTGATCATTGCATGTTTAGATTTGATATTGGGGTGTTTTATGCCACTTTTGGACTCCATTGTTGAGTCTTCTTGTATCTTGATGATTTCAGACCATAAGGGCTGTCCTTTTGGGCTCTTTGAGGCACTAAGAGTCATAAAAATTTGACCTTGATGTTTAAGCCACAAACATGCAAGTGTTTGATGGTCATAATGCTTGTTAATGGACTAAAACCATGTTTTGACCCCCAACCATACATGCAAGCACATAAAGTTTGTGACTTTATGGATTAGGAGGTCTTAAAGGACTTGGATCTTCATTTTGGACGTGAGGACTTAATGGATTAAGTCACAAATGAAGTCCCAAGAATCTGGCCAGTACGCTGCGTACACCCTGGTACGCTACGTACTGGATCAACTTCCTACGCTGCGTACTGGATCAACTTCCCGTTTGCAGTCAAGACCAGCGTACGTTGGGCGTACGAGCTAAGTACGTCGTGCGTACGCATGCAGAGTGGCTACCTTGGGATTTTGGGCCTTAGGGGGCTAGTCCTGGACTATTAGGCTCGTGACCTACTATGGAATATAGTTTTGGGCTTGGGAATCTGGAACTAGAGCATTGGGCCTATTGGGTTATGTTGGGTCTTTACAAATTATTAATGGGCTAAGAACTTTTGGACTTGTAATGGGCCCATTTGGGGAATACGGCCCAATTCAGAAAATTAGGCAATCAGTGGGCCCTTAGGGAGCCTTTAGTGGGCAATAGGTAGGTTGGGTTTAATTGGGCCTTATGAATGGTTCACATTAGGTCAATGGGGTAAAATGGTCATTTTACCCTAAGATTGACTATTATTGTTACTATGATAGTCGGGAGTCATCAGAGCAACTGTTAGAGATTCCTTTCCGCGAGATTCGACACGCAACTTTACGGGGTGAGTTACATTCCAGTAGAAGTGGGTCGAAGGCACAAATGTCGGTCCACTAGTAGTTGATTAAAGTTGAGATGATTGTTTTCGTGATAATTATCTGGTTTTCCTCTATCTGTTATGTTTTATAAGCTAGTATGATATGATGTTATGTGATGGTGGTAGTAGGGGGAATAGTCCCCATATCCGGTCGATAGGGCCAAGGGGTAGGTTAGGCACCCCGGTACACCTGACAATATGATTATGTTATGCTTTTATGTAGTAGTAGGGGTGAAATAGTCCCCGTAACCAATTAAGATAAACCAGAGGGGTAGGTCGGACACCCCGATTTGTCTGACAGGGGTAGGTTAGGCACCCTGGTATGCCTAGCAGGGGTAGGTT